GTTGTATCGTAGGATTTGTACATTTTTTCCACACCTGGCAGAAGGTGGGTTAGTCTCTTGTTAATGGCATTGACGAATTTATTTGTGGGGGCCAGAATTCTGCGTTTGCAGAGCCACTCAACGTCGGAGAAATTGGTCTGGAGGTTAGGGAAAACTTTTTCTCTTAGGTATTCGCCACTGCTCACCAATTTTGTAAAAAAAGCAAGGGGGATGCGTCCAGTTGCATCGGTTTCGATTTTACCTTCACCAATCTTCAAGATATTAGTGGAGAACTCGCCGGACTCATGGTCAGCATTGAGGTGCACTATCATATTGGTTGTGAGTTCCAAGGTACTGTGAGCAGTTCCACCGCCAGGAAGCAATGTCGCTGCAATACCAGCCGATGCAACCACCAAAACAATTTTGCCGTCTTTGCGCAGTTGGGCAAGGAGCAACTTGAGGACGAAAGTTTTGGCAGTTCCACCAGGAGCATCCAAAAAGAATACGTGATCACCATTTCTGCGACCATGTTGATCTTTAAAAGAAGTTGGACCCCGAACCTCGTGAAGAAGCATTCGTAAGAAGAAGCACTCTTGTTTAGATGAATGAATAGTGTAAATCCGACCCAGTTTAAAATCGTATTTGATTCCTGAATGTCCTCCAACCGCCAGTCCTTTCTTTCGCTGGGCCCACGTGTGTTGTTTCCAAGTGTAGTAGGAGAGGACATCAACAGAGAAAAGCGTCCGGGCAAATACATCTTGCTGGCACAATTTGAAGAAGGCAGCTAAGGTCGTGTCTCTGGGATTTTGAAGTTGATCCGCTAAGGATTCGTCCGTAAAGTAAATCCGTTGGCCGTTTTCAAGGTGGACGCTTAAATTTTCGACGGCCGGAAATCGGTTGTGGATATAAAAACCAAAGATCCTCCAGAAAGCCTCATTGCTGCTGATATATCGGCCCATTTCGTATTGAGTAATCTCGTCGCTGCGTGAACGTTGGTTAAGAGAAAACATGGCGGCATCGGAGCCTTTGTTAATATATTTGCAGACGTATTTGATGGATTTCACAGAGTTGCAAAATTCAGCGTTGATGTGGGCGTACGGT